GTCGCATCGAGACTTTAACTAGTACTCGCGTCCTGTCGCGTCGTCGTGGATTTCTCGCTGCGCGACTGTCCTTGACACTCTCCTTACTCCTGCCGTCATTCCACCCCTTTCTCTGGGCCTCCCTCTGTCGACACCTCGCCCGGCCCCTCTCATTCGCACTCTCCCTCTCCCTCCCACGCCAGGCTCCCAGCAACCAGCAACCAGCTCCCAGCTCGAGCTCGGCCCCTGCCACCCCTGCCATCCGGGTTTCCGTTGGGTTTGGGTTTCGAGAGACCCGCTGCCGCGCCACGCCACGCTACGCTACAGCTCCGGCCACATCATCGCACCTGCTGCCTTCTGCTGCCTTCCCACCAGGCTTCTCCTTCCCCCTTTTGGTCCGCCGCCTGCCCAGCCTGCAGCAGCCTGCACCAGCCTGCACCCGAACCTGCAGTAGACCCACAGTTTACGTCAGCCATCACCACCCGTCGCCTCCCTGCCCTCGCCCCTGGTGCTCACTCATCTCACCCGCACCCTGGTCTCAACACGCAATCACGCTTTCAATCTCACCCGCCATCAACAACGTTGGACGGCTCATTCACCGAAGCGTCCTCGTCGCGTCAGACATCGCCCCAAACGACCATTTCGCTCGTCTCCCGCTCACAGAGCATGCTCACCTCGTTTCGCTTTTGGGGCTCTGAACGCGGAAGCACGCTCTTCGACCACGACACTCACTCCATGCAGTCCTCTGACGCCATCCGCCAACACATCTTTCACCCAGGCAGCCACAGCCGCCCCTTGACCACGACTGCTTCTTCGACGCCAGTGCGACCGACCAAGAGGAGACTGGAAACCAGTGACGATACTGATTCTCATGCGACGCTCACCGAACCGCCCGCCACCAAGCGGACCAAGATGGATGCCCCCATCGCCGCCGACGTCACCCCCCTGTCGGCCGGCGCAGTAGAGACCACCATCCAGACCGAACCCGCGCCGCCCGTTGTGATGTCGACTGCCCCAGCTGCCAACGACCTGGACAAGGCACGCGATGCTATTCACTACCAGTTTGGTCTTGAGATTCTGCTGAAGCATGACGAGTTGCGACTTGTTGACCAGGAGCTGGCCAAGTGCCAGGTTGCACTCGAGCAGCTCCGAAGGTGCCACCTCATCCCGTATCCCGTTACCTGTCCCACACCCGAGCAGATGGCCGCTCTCAGCAGCGGCAAAGGCCCCGCTGTGCAACCTCGTCCCGGTGAGATGGTGCCAGAATGGGCTCCGCCTTTTGGTGTTGTCGATGGTCCCTACGCTCGTCACTACGCCAAGTGGCTCATCCCCGACCCCAAGTTTGACGGCATGCAGCCTGAGTGGCATCCCGTCATGGAGACTGTTGGTCGCAGGACGTCGGCGGAAGGTCGCACGACCAGGAACAGCATTGTCGATTTTGCCAGCCTGAGCAAGCCACGTTCCGGCAGGGGCATGTCCCATCACAAGCTGCAGTCTCTCTCCAGCGGCTACCCTCAGCCCAAGGAGAAGGCTGGGCCTTGTGTGCTCAAGCGCTCCGACGGTCAGACGGTCAAGCTAGTCTGCATCGATTGCCAAAGGGACAACTTCTCCAGTACTCAAGGCTTCATCAATCACTGCCGCATAGCCCACAGACGAGATTTCAAGAGTCACGAGGAGGCCGCCGTTCACTGCGGTCACCCCATTGAACCGACCGACGGCGCGGCTTCTGCCGCCGCTGTTGCGCCTGTGGCGGCCGAGGAGAAGGAAAAGGCAAGCGGCCCTACAAGCTTCGCCCCGACTGGCTCGGGACTCGTGCACCCCTTCGCCCAGCCCCAGGTCATCACTGATCAACAGGCATACGCTGCTTTGCACTCGCGCATCGAAGCCTCTCTCGAGTTGTACCATCAGGGCAAGCTGCCCGGGGTCACTTCCATTCCTACCAGTGCCCCCAAGGTCGCATCAGGCGAAGCGAAGAAGCCGAACGGCGGATTTGTCTCCGCTCGCGAGACCCCTTTCCTCTCGAGCTTGATGAAGAAGAGGAAGTTCCAGGGCGATCTGGGCGATATTGTCCGCGATGCCAAGGAGAAGATATCGATGGACGATCTCATGTCACCGGCCGAAGATTCGGAAGATGTGGAGCTCTCCTTCGCCAGCACCGATGGCCTGTCAAAGGAGACGTTTGCTGCGTCCCGAGCTCCCGTCATGCGCGTGCCTGCGAGGATGGTCTTGTCTCCGGCACCCACCGGTCCGTCGACAAGACCAACCAGCAGCAAGGCTCGCTCGCCTCAAATGGGCTTCGCCTCTCCGACTAGCATGTCTGACAAGGACGATGACCGCAAGATGCTGCTGCTGCAGGATGACGACGTCGATATGGATGCCGACATGAGTCCCAACACCATGGTCAGCAACAATGCCCCTTCGCTCGTTAGCGACGACGGAGAGTACGATGACTCTGATGATGGGTCTTCCATGAGTGATGTCAGCGATGGCGCCGAGTCTGTATCGGACGTGGCTGAGATCAACATCGATGAGGACAGCGAACCGCGATCCCTCCGTCATCACCGGACTTCGAGCGGTGTCGTCTCGGGAGCCGTGCGCTTGAAGAAGGAGGAATCGAAACACGTCACTTTCGTCAGCCCTGTCAACAAGAGTGCCAAACGAGCTCGGAAAGTGTAGGGCGACTGCCACCTGCCGGCTCTACGACTGTTGAGCTCACCTTGCCACTTTGCCCCAAACCCACCGACAGGTACGCCGCTGTCAGCGCAGCCTGCTTTCCTCACTTCATCGCCGCCGCCTACTTTGGATTCTGTGCCTTTTCTGGGCGATGAGGGTCATTTACACCAAACAACAAAAACACTTACTCATTTCACTGCCCGCTTATTCCTCTTCACTCTTCATTTTCCGTTCATTGACGGACCCGACGCAACCAGGGTCACACGGGGTAAAAATGGTCTGGCACAGACCGAACCAGCTTAGGACGGGGCTGGGTCACAAGTCACAATTGTTAGAGATATCACGCGGCGTCGAGGGGTTTGCTTGGGCAGCGTCCGTGTTCTTTTTTTCTTCCTTGCGCATTGATTTTATCTTGCTTGTAGATTTTTTTTATTACTCCTCCCCTCCAGCAGCAGCGGTGCTACTATCGAGCGAGATGGGTCTGGACAGGAGACGTGCGCCACCTCTGGACGAGCCAGAGGCAGCGCTTTACCTTTGAAGGGAAGAAAAAGGGACCTACCTGTACGAGGGCTTGTGTTGTATCACTAGTAGCTGAGAGAGGCTTGACGAATTATCATGAGAGCATTCGCGCTGGCGATTTGCAAACAACCAAACTCGTTATTCTTGCTGTGACGTGTGACTTGACCATTTCATACGACTTTCTCACTCCATCTGCAATCGAGGGGAAAGGAGACATTGATTTTACGAGT